CTTCGTGGCTGGCACCTGCAGCGACGTGGAGGCAGCCCCGATCAGCAGCCCCAGGGACTGGGCCACCAGCGACGTCATGGTGCCCAGCGCGGCAAACAGGACGAAGCGCACGGCGTCAGACGGCTGTGACGTCATCCAGTACACGATACTGCAGTAAGCCACCGGGAACATGATCTGCGGACCGGAGACCCCGTCACGCTGGGAGCCGTTCAGGCTGGGCCGCCTGCCCTTCACCCGGAGCCCAGCGGCAGCCCCGGGGCAGGCATGCCACCCTCCCCCCCCCGCCCTGTCAGGGACGGGCCGCCGCCCGCCTGGCAGGGCACCCCTGCCTCTCTACAGAGTCGCTGGCTCACGCACCTGGAAGGGGACATCGGCCATGGTCTTGGCTAGGTAGTACGCCTTCAGGCTGTACCAGTAATTCAGGTGTTCCCGCAGGAAGACGCCCATCTCCAGGGGGACTGGGACCCAGAAAGTGGGGGAAGACATAGAGGAAGAAAAGAAATGTCAGGTGGGCACCGCTAGAAAGCCCAACGCTCTCACAGGTGGCCCGGGGCTGAGCTGTGTGCTGTCCACCAACGGGGGTTTGGTTTGGTTTGGTTTGCGAAGAGGGATCCGCTGGCTGGGGAAATGGCTGGCTGCTTCTACAGGCCACAAGGAGAACGCAGGTGGAGCACAAGCATGCTCCCCCACCCCCACGGCCAGTTCTGGTCCTGCTGGGGTCCCCGGCTCTGCCACCAGCCCGGGTGGCAGGGTCTTGGAGGAGGTGTTCATGCCAGAGTCCTACAGGGCAGCAGCTTCAATCCAGCAGCCCCAGGGCCCAGGGTCGGCTCTGCACACACCGGAGCTGCACGGAAGCCCATGTGGAAGAGCTGGGCAGCGCCCAGGGCCAGCGAGGGCCATCCCAGCAGCTGAGGGACACGCGGTGGACTCCTGTATGCAGCTGGCCCCCCTGCCTCAGGAGAGAGGCCATCCCGGGGCTTAAACATGGCACTTTCTTATCCTATGTCATAAAACCTCTTTGTCAGCACCTAAGATGGAATTTGGAAAATCTAATGCCAGAGTTGGGCGTATTGGTGCAAGCCTGTAAACCCTAGCTACATGGGAGGCACAGGTAGGAGGCCTGCGGTTAGAGGCTGGCTGGATGAAAATGGGAGGGAGGGAAGGAGGAGGGAAGGAAGAAAGAGTGAGAGAGGCAAGAAAGGTAGGAGGGAAGGAAAGGAGGAAGGGAGGGAGGGAGGGAGGGCTCAGAATACTCCTGTCAGCCCCAGTGATTGAGTGGGAATCCCAGCAAACAGGGCAGGGTTGGGCCCGTCACTCACAGGTCAGAACGGTGGGCATGAGGGCGGCAAACATGAGGAACAACATGGAGAAGAAAAGAAAGCCGGAGTTGCTCAAGACTTTCTTGGCTTCGTTCCCGATTCCCAAGTAGAGCAGGCCGATGAGCAGGCCAATGCCGATGTGTGAGGTGATGCGCAGGTGCGTCAGGACCTGGGGGCAGCGGGGCTCCTTACCCAGTGCTCAGGGAAGGGAGGGAACGAGGCCAGGGCCTCAGCAAGCCTCGGACTCTGATTCCCATCATAGTGGCTCTCAGTCCACTGTCTCCTTCCCCAAAGAAACAAGCCGCAGCCTGCATCCACACACCCCTCCCCCCCGCCGCGCACGTGCGCGCGCGCACACACACACACAGAGTATACAGTTGCTGTTGTTAAAACCCAAGCAATCACTAGCCTTGGTTACACTGATCTTCAAAACTGACAGACGAGGGGCATGTTTATCCAGAGAGAAGCGAGGGATGCTGGGAGGTGGGATCTAAGCCCTGCAGCAGGGCACTCAGGCATGGTGGAGATGATCTAAGGGGGCCTGTGCTGCAGAGCCCGGCCTGGGTGACTATGAGCCTCCTGTCCTGAGCTGTGACCCTCCCAGTGTGGGTCCCCGAGGCCCCACACAGCCTCGCCCCGGGAGGCTGGAGCGTCCACCGCTGTGGCCAGGCCCCTCAGCCACCGCCTCCGTCCACACAGTGGTGGCCTGGCCCCACTCTGCACCTGGCTATGCTCTTCCGACGCAGAAAGGCCTCCTCTCCCCTGACCGCACCTGGCCTGCTTTGGCCAATGCCACGTGAATGCACGTGACTGTTTGCTGCCTTTGGGCTATGTGTCACCTCTTCCTCCTGCCTTTTGCTTTGCCATGTGGTAGAAAAACAGGGGTTGCTCTAGCATCTGGGCCTACCCCCTGCACAAGCAAGATCCACACTGGCTGCGTGCACTCTACCGTGAACGCTGACATCTTGGGACCCCTTGTTACGGCAGCTTAGCAGTAACCACTCGTGCAAACAGAGGAAGAGTTTGCTCAGGAAGAGCTAGAGGCGAGAAGGGCCTTGTGGGACACGAGGAACCCCCTTACCGAGTCCCGCATGATGCTGAGGAAGGTTCTTTTGAAGAGGATGCAGAACTGGGTGAGGCAGCTGGCCGAGAAGCTGTGGCAGCCCTCCATGGAGGCGGAGTCCTGCACACACACCAAGAAGGGCGCGGTGAGGCTCCGGCCGGCCGCCGGCCGACCGGCCGGACAGAGCCAGCGTGCGGCCGGGACAGAGCGCACGCGGCTCACGGGGGCTGGGAGATTCTCATTACCTTTCTCAACCCCTTCAATCGTTTTGTCTGCTTTACCTCTTCAGAGGACCGGTGCCAGAGGAAAGGGTTCACCTCGGCATCGCCCCCGAGGTCTCTCTTGTAGTCAGAGTCGCACATGCCCTCCCGCACGGCTCTCACCAGGCGGCTGTTCTGGTCGCCATACTCCCCAGAGGCCACCTCCATGACTGCGGAGGACACGGAACGCAGGGTCAGCCGGGGCGCCTGGGAAGCCGGGAGCCACCATCGCTCCGGCGGGGAATGTTTGCTGAGTGACTTATACCCCAATGCAGATGACTGCGAGGCTGGATTCCAGCCATTAATCAGCCAAACCCTCAGCGAAGCCCGTCCCCGCGTGGGGGAGCAGACACATGGATCACGCTGAGAAGCGATGAGCTCATGCGCCTGGCTGCCAACGCTCTCGCCCGGCCCTGGCTGCGTGCCTGCTGCGGATGGCACCCCACGGACCCGGGACGTGAGGTGGGGGGAGGAAGCAGGTTCCTCTCTGAAGCACTCAGAGCGCGTGACACGTGACAGGTGTGGAAGTGGCCCAAGGACCCCAGGGGAGGATGGTCTGCCTACCACATAGCACGCAGCACCCAGAGAAACCACGGCTCGGGACCACAGCCCGTACCCCTCAAATCCAAGCCGCTGCCCGGCCTGCAGACTGGCCCGGGCAGAGGCCCTCATCCCTCCAGGACCGCGCTGCCTCCTGGGCGCTGCCTTTGTTTTTCTCTGTCCTTTCTCCCCTGTTCTCCCCTCCTGCCCCCTCTTCTGCAGCACCTGCCATTCTCTCCCGCAGCTCTAAATTCCAGGACCTTCTGTGGCTTTTCAGTAGGCTTGTTTGCCCTCGAGGGGGAGCTCTCCCTCACCTCTGACCTTCAGAGGGTTTCTCTCTCTCTCTCTTTCCCTCCCTCTCTCTCTCTCTCTCTGGCTTCCAGTACCCCAGGCGCCGTGCCTTGGCATAGCAGAGAATATGGAGTCGTGGAGCAGCGTGCCGGCACCCACCTGAGTGGGAAAGCTGTCTACTCACCAAAGTCGGCCGGGTTGTGGTAGGTGGGGCAGTTAAGTCCTAAGTCCCTCAAATATGGCACAAGGTTTGAGACCTTCCCGCGGTACACACACTGTCCTTGACTTAGGACGTACAGCTGGGAGAAGGAAGGGGGAAAAAAAGACATCAACCCCAACCTTCTCGTGCAGGGGAACAGGAACTCCCAGACCACCCAGCATTCGGTCGGTCGCTCGGCCAGCCGGACACCCCAGTGTCTAGAAGAAGGCATGAGTAGCTAGCGCCAGCCTGCTGAGGGTCTGGGGTACGGAGTCTGGATTGGAGAGTGTGGGGTGGGGGTCTTGGTGAGGATCTAGGGTGGGGATCCCGGAGAGGGGTTGGGAGAGGTTTAGAACCCACACACCTGGTCGAAGAGCTCAAAGAGCTTGGCACTGGGCTGGTGGATGGTGCACACGATGGACCGCCCCCCCTGGGCGAGGCCTTTCATCAGGGACACTACCTGGAAGCAGGAGGCGCTGTCCAGGCCACTGTAAATCAAGAACACCAGGAGCCTGTGTAGGCTGCAGGGCCCAGGTCCTGGGTGAACTGGGTGCTCACCGCCATGAGAGAGCACGGTGCGCACGCTGCTGGCTCTCCTCATGGGACAGGCCCTGCCGGCGGTGCTCCAGAGCCGCCCAGGCGGGCAGCTGGGCCTCCCAAAGGCCTCCCAGAGAGGCCCGGTGGTCTGGCATGGTGGCCTCGATCCCCTCCCCGTTTGGGGGGTGAGTGATGAGCTACTGGCCCCAGCGAGGGCACCCCAAAGCGGGACCACCTGATGAGGGTTTGTTACCAAATATACCAGTGCATTTCCCAGGATGAGGTGTCCTGAGGATTGCTGCCCCCCCCCCGTGAGCTCTCCTCTCCTCTCTCTCCGCTCTCCTCTCCTCTCTCTCC